AAACCACAAACAGTGTTTTTGTCTCCAGTGTGTGTATACTCTTGGGCCCACTCTCTCTCTCATTTGCCTGCCTGGCTTGACTGCTGCTGCATACTCTGCTTGGGGGTTTATCCCCAAACACTAACAGCCATCTCGTTGGTCTTTCGGCTGTCCTTGCCACGTGCTTACAGTCTTTGTTCCTCTGATCCCACCTTCGTCGCCAGTGTTCTATCGCCAGGACAAAGCAGACTCGAAGACCGGAGTTGAATTCAGCTCTTTATTAGCAACCAGTAATTTCAACTGAAATCGAGCCGTGGCAGCCCTTTTTATAGCGGCTGCTCGCAGCTCGCAACCAATGGCATTTATTTAAACTTCCCGCCACTTAGGCGGCCAATCCAAAACTGTCCTTATTAACCAATCGTTAAGCTATGTGGACTAACCAATAGAAATGTGGTATTAGAAGTATGTACATGAATACACTACACAAAGCTTGTCATTTCTCACTTCCCAGCCTCTGGGCTCAAGTGAAGCATCGTAATCGAGAAAATAAAGCTTACAAACAAAATGAAAATTGCATCCTTTTCTATCCCTCTCTCAACTTTTAGACATGATCAGGGTCAAACCCAGTTTCTTTCTTTGTCTAATCCTATCAGACTCAGATTGACTTTCCTTGCCATTTCTCTTTCCAGTGCACCTTTGCAGATATTCAAATATTTCCATAGAAGTTGGGATTTGGGAGGAGCAAGTCACATTGTTATAATGCAAACTCCCCCACTTACTGTATGTGCTTGAGGCTTTGAAATGCTGTTACAAGAAGGTGAAGCATGCATTGTGATGTCATGTGTGATGACTCGGGGTATGGCACAAAGGCAACACAGTCAGATAATCAGTAGAAGTCCCTTTATTAGCTCCAACTTTGCCCCAATGTCTTGGTTACCTTCTGGCTGGAGAAAAACTCTCCCAGGAACAGCCTTTGGCTGCAGAGAATCAAGCCCAAAACGTGGTCAACAAAAACTGTAACTATAAGTTCAATCAAGGCAAAATGAGGTAATTAGTCCAACAGGAGACAGGAGCAAGAATTCCAGACATGAAGGAACAGCAATAACTTCCTGGGAAGACGCCAGGAACACAGATAAGCAAAGTGAACACAAGATAAACTCACGTTTGCTCACAGCAGCTGCCATACTCAGCATGCATTTCTTTTAAACTCTCATTCCCAGCTGTGGCTAATGAAGGGAATCAGGGCCCTTTCCTCCCCCGTAAGCCACACAACCCACATTGCTCTCTTCTCCGTTCCTCCCTGTGTGTCCTAGGATGAAGAGGGAGTGGGTCTGGGTCTTCCTCTGAACTCCATCTCCCTTGTTCTACCACTTGCCTGCTCTGCTCAACCGGATGTTGCCCTTCCCCAGTTTCTTCCACAGCCAATGGAGCCATACTCCCACTCCCTGTCAGCTGTTCATCTTCCTCCTCAGATTCTGACTCCGACGGGCATGACATCATGCTTGTGTATCATTGTTAGGAATGAATGCCTTTGTGTACAGTATTTCTCTGTTAATATTTTTAAACTGGTAATTGAAGATAAGCCACTGATTTTTGGAGAAACTAATCAAATTGTCACTGTCTAAAAACTGAATTTAAAAAGTTGGAAATAAAATTATATCATGTTTCAACTTGTAAAAATGTTCTGGGTAGAGCTTTCAGTTCCTTGAATGTATGTATAATCAAGGCACCACCTACTGTATATTTTTAAAATTAAACCTGAAACTATAAAGCTTCATGAAATTCTAAATACTAATTCTAAATTGAACATTATTTGCACCAAGATTTCATAGCATGTTTTTGTTATTTGTTTAGTTGCTGTAAGCTTTGGTTTCTCTGTTCACTAGTCAACCCTGGAGGTGGAGCTAAAATGTCAGCACATTAGCAGCTTGTGAAATAAGTTCCTGGCTTGCAACAGGCCTTATCACTTCTAGCTTAACTGGATGCCCCCAAAATGCCACCCAAGAAAAGAGCCTGGGCCAGTCCCAGCAACATTACTGGAACCTAGTGGTCTTCACTAGCAGTGTGCTAGTATATATGCTCTTGGTTTATGAAGCCTATACCTTCCATTTCCTCCATTTAATGGAAGGTTATTACTTTGTCCACAGATATTAACAATAGCCAGGAGGTGAGAATCTGTGTTCGCCTTTATTCATTGTCACTGCCTGATTCATTCTCTACCACTAAGCCATAATGTGACTTGTTTAGCTTAGAAAGATGTATAAATCTAGCCATGAATTTAGGGCAAGAGACAATATTTGAAACTCCCAGCCACTCATGGTTGTGCTGCCCAAATTCAGCCACATAATTGGATTTTGTGGGATTTTACTTTATTTTTTTAAATCAAAGCTGTAACTGTGAAAACAGAATGACAGGGGGAGAGATTACTTCTGTTAACTCCACTAAAATGCCCAAATCACCATACATATTTATAGTTCAGTGGGTTGCATAAGAAAATCATTAACCTTTTGTAGGGCAATTGTGAGATTCATATTATTTCTGTATTTATTTAAAGGTTTATGCCAATGTCAACAGAACTGATGAACTTTAACTAAATGTTTGGTATAATATGCTAATATTTTTTTCCATGATATGCCTTTCAGGCATGTTACGGTTATGGTCAACCCAATATGCTTAGAATTCGAGAACTACAATAACTGAATGAAAGTCATCTTTCTTTTTTGTTGCTGTTGAGTGATCAGATTTTTCAGCCCAGTAGTGCACAACCTAATCATGTAGTCCATGATCTATTCCACAGCCTGTTTCTCTACTGCTATTTCTCAGTATATACTCTGTTTATATAACAACATCTTTGATGGTCACATATATAGTCACGTATATAGTTAATAAATTAAGCATTCATTTTCCCCTTGAAACCTTTTTATGATGGCTGCTGTTTTGAAGTAGCAGATTATCTTAACTTGAGTGATCTAGTAGCATTGAAATTGTTTAAAGATGAACTTCTTCTTTGATCTCTATTGGATAGATAGGAAATCTGTTAACTTTTTTCCTCAAAGAAAACTGTTCATTTATACAACTGTGGGTTTTTGTTTTGTTTAAGTGCAGGATTTTTTTTAACGCATTCCTACACAGGTGAAAAAAGATGACAACTTGGTATATTTTAAGCTGACTATTGGTAAAATACAAATTGATAGAACAAATGGATACAAGTAAAGGATATAAAGTATTTTGAGTCTTGTTTTTTTTTCCTGACTGAAAACGAGGTGTGAACGAACAAATTACAGCAGCAATGAGTGCCCTGTTAGAAAACCTGAAAAGGTGAGATCGATCATCTTGGACAAAATCTACAAGGTCAACTAAGAATTAATAATTACAAAAATCAACAAGACGTTATTTACCATGGCTACTTTTGCTTTAGCCCAGATTAAAATTATTATCAGCATCAGGAGAAAAAGAGCAGATCACACAGACATCTCTTTTGCACAGGCCCAGGTGGTCAGTGAAGTCCCTCTGGGTACCAGTTTAGTAGAAAGGAACCTGTATGCAGTTCGTATCTGGTCTGGCCCCCGTCTTTCTTTTTATGGCTCTGTAGGACATACCCTTGATGTATTTTAATTCCATTTTGATAAGAGATAAACCAAGTTCATTGTCAGTTCCAGCAATTATTTGTACTTGGTTGTATACTTCTGCAAACAATTTTGATGGGATTCCTGGAAGAGAAATTGTCTGGAAAATCTAAAGGCATAGCTGCTTGTATGTGTTCGCAAATGGGGGAATCCCTTTCTCTGCTGGTTGAAAAGCATTGGTGAACTAAAGCTGATTTAAGAGACTCAAGTGTGGTCTAGTCTCCAGAGAACAGATTGTTTGCTTTTGTGTGCACTGTGAGAAGCCAATGGTGCAGGTAAGTATGTAATTAAGGGCTTATTTAAAATTGAGATTCTTTTACACCAGTCTGCTGCATGCTCACAAGGAATAATAACCTACAGTTTACACACCCCTTATACTGTGTTTTGGCCTCTGTAAATACTCTATTTTCCAGATTATTCTTGGTTCATGTTACCAATTATCTGGGGGCCACACGCGTGGAGTTTGGTCCTAGGAAACATTATATATAGGGAACACGGAACACATACATCAATCTGCTCCGCAGCAATTTTGAACTACATTTAAATCGGTTTTATCACTCTGAATATATTTCAGCACAAAAACATCACTGAAAGCATCGCTGTACTCTTTATGCTGTATTTTCTAAACTGAGCAGTACAGTATCTGGTTTGACATTACTGAAGGTGGCACACACAAAAGTCTCTCATAAAGGCTTTTGGGGCACTCTTGGTTGCTTTTCTTTGGAAAACTACATTATATTTAGCCCAAATTCATTTTAGCAGAGAGAAAAAAATTCACATGCATTTGCTCATTTCATTATGATGCGGAAAGTTAATTGAAGTGTAATCAGCTCTTTCTGGAAGAGAATGAAGACTGTTAGTTCATTAAAAGAAAACATTCCCATATAATAGTCCAAGAATTGCTTTCACGTTTTGTAATCGTGCAAAGGATACTTGGCATGTGTTTTGGGGCGAACTTTAACTTGTTTCCACTCGGTACAAAAGCAACGTATCTTAAGTACACCACTTCCTTCCAAGGCAAGTCAGGACGTGATGTGCCCCCAACTCTCTTTCCTAAGTCTCCCTCCTCCTATGCAAATACTTCATTACTATTTCGCGCCACATATATAGGTCCTTGAAGAACGATAGACGCCTATGCTAAACTTGAAAAGAAAAAGAAAACCCGGCCAGCTTTCACAATCTTTTCTACTTTTTGCTACACACCCACCTTCACGACTATTCGAAAACCGCGTGTCAGGCGACCGAGCAGCGTGAACGAAAAGCAACGTCTGCGAAAAGCGAGGCTCGTACCTTCCAGGACCACACAGCACTTTTCGCGGGAAAAAAAAAAAGCGCCCGTATCTAATCCCCGCCTCCGGCGAATTGTAAGTAGCTTTGGCGCGAGTCTGAGTCTTGTGGTTGGACCCGGGAGAAGCTTCGGGAGCTCCACGCGTGGCAAATCTGCAGTTAGTATGGACCCTTTCGGCTTGCAGGTGAGCGCCTTGGTCGCAGCGTAGGACTGTCCTGTGTAGACGTTTACCTTTTTTTTTTTTTTTAAACCCTGGAGTAAGTGCTGGGCAGCTCTCGGGATTGGGTTGCTGGGGAAGTTGGGCGGTGCAGCTAACTACTTTTACAAAGTTTACAAAGACCCGAGGTGAAGAGTTATTATGGGCTGGCGAGGGGGAAAAAAAAAGCCTCGCAGATGTTGGAATGGGAACGGATTTGGAACGGGGAGAGGGGAGGAGGAAAGAGGAAGTAAAAATAATAAGCTTTGCAATACGTTTGTTTGGCTTTTAGCGTTCCTCGGGCTTCCGCCAGTCTATTGGCAAAATGGGTTGAAGAATTGCCGCCCCGCAGTCTCTCTTTTATTTTTATTTTTTTGTTTACTCCGCGTGTTTTCATAGCGTGGCCCAAGCGCCCTTCCGAGCGAGCGAGCTAGCCGTTTTAAAGCGGGCACATGGCTCGCCAAGCCTTAAGTTACGAGACGAAGTTGTTCGGGTTTAAAGGCTGAAGAGTCCGCCGGCTTTGGAAACGGCTGCTCGGTTAAACAAAAAAAAAAAAACTTGGGCTCCCTCCCCCACCCCCCAGCCCAGCCACGCGGCAGGTTTTTACCCTGTAAGTAGGGTTTTTTTTCTTCTTTTTCTCTTAAGGGCGAGGGTGCTGCTGAAGCCGACGAGGAACTTGGCCAAAAGTAACGCTTCGTTCAAGCCATGACTTTCCACCATTCCTTTCTGAGAATCTGGAACTCGGGAGTAAAGCGGCGAGCTTTTACTTTTTATATACTGTAGGTGGTAGAGAGTCAGGGCAGGCTCAGCTCAGGGTGATTTACACACCTTTTTCCCGCCTCTCTCTCTCTTTCTTTTTTGTTCCCGAGATCGGCGTGCACCACCACCAGGCAGTAATCCTTTGTTTCACCGCCAGGCCACCCCCAAAGTATTTTCCCTCCCAAAACTTGCTCCTCTATTGGGGGTGGGGGTGGGGGAGGGGGGCGGGAGAAAAAAAAACATAACAGCAACCCCCAAGTCAAATAAACTTTATTGCAAATAAACTTTTGTCTCTTCGGGCATTTCTCTCGGCTGGGGAGGGGAAGAAAGAAGCCGGCGAGGTGGGGGAAATAAATTCTTGCTTCTCCCGCACATATCGATCTCTTCAAAAGTTTATTTGCAATTTACCTCCCCCCCCCCCCATGCATCCCCGCCTATCTCTTGTGGCTTAGCGGTCGAGCTAAGTTTTCATTTTTGGGGATACAACTTTGGGGTGGGAGTGGGGGGGGGTCAGAAACCCGAAGAACCCCACCTTCTCTGCTCGTTTCCTTTTTGAGCATGCCGCGAAAAGAGGGTGGAGGAAACGGAAGTCCGTCCTTTTCAGAAGGGATCGCGGCGCGCATGGTAGACACTCCTGTTTCCTCTGTAAGAAGGGACCTGGAGGGTTTACCAGCTCCTGGATGAAAGCTGGCATAGAAATAAATCATTGGTCCGATAAATAATCAGACCAATGGTTGGCTGGTGTTCAAATGTGGAATACTCCTTTCAGGAAGGCCTTGAAAAAGTTGTTTTTAAGATTCTTGTCCTTCTTTAATCCCAGGTTTATGTTTGGGGGGGACATAACTTTGACAGAAGTAGATAAAATAAAAAAAAAGACAAGAAAGAAGCAGAAATGCCCTAGACCTGAGGTTCAGTATGGAGAAATAAGTAATTTTTAGTCTGTCTCCAGTGAAGGCTGCCGATTTACTGTACGATTTACTGTACAGTACTGTAATCACAAATTGAGGTTACACCTCTTAATGACACTTGCCTTTTTTACATGAAAGATAGGTCAGTTGAATATTGACTCGGATAAACCCTTAATAGAGCTCCTTAGCTGGTTTTGAATTAAAAATGTCTTTTAAACCTTTTTAGATTGGCTTTTTTCTTAGCCCATTTGAGCTTGAAAAACAACAGCTTTGTTTTCCCTTCCATGTTCTCAGGGCTGTGTAAATAGTGACCTCCCAAGTGATTTTATTCTCAAATCAACCTTGTGAGGTGGGCTAGCCTGAGTCGCTGGTTCAAAGACAGCCATGAAACATGATTTAGTGGCACTCGGTTGGCTTAATCTGATACATTGGCACTTTTTAAAATCTGGTTACCCTGTAAGTAATTGTCAGCTTACTTAATCGCAGGCCTCAGACAATGAGACAGACTTTCAGGGAGGTGTGCTATGGTGACAGGATTGTACCATAATTTGGTTGCCACATTACTTTTTTGGCATTATTGTTAACTTGTTAAGTATGTGTTTGTGGATTCTGCCGATTTGGGGCAGAAGATTTATATGATTATTTTGCAGAAAGAGTTTGACATATCTGTAGTCTACCTACATAATGAGGGCATCTTTTAGTTCATCTTAATGGCATTTTACTTCTTGACAGATAAACCTTTAGTTTGTCAACCTAAACACAACAAGAGTCAACACGTTCGATATACGATTATGGAATCCCAATCTGGATCTTGCTTTTGGGAGATCATGGCTAAATCTGAATTATTTATGCTTGTTGTAATGTACCCACAAGAATGGTTGAATTGAGCTGATGAAGAATGCCTGGCTGCCTTTTGCTAAAACGATCATATGAGTTGGCCATAGCCAAAATAGGACCAACAATTTTGCTATGCTGTCTTAATTGTAAATGTATGGGATAAAAGAATCTTAAATTTTAACTATATTTCCTTACTATATGTTGTAGATGAGTTTAAGTCCCATAAATGTGCAGTAAATGTCTCAAGAGTTGTATTGCTTCCAAAATATGTATAATGTCATTAGTAAAAATTTCTCCAGCTTAATAGATTGTGCTTGTTTTACCATAGTGGCACAAAATATGATAGAAGTCTTTTTTTTTAAATGTGTACTTCAGTCTAGTCTGTAGCCAAACTAGATTAGATTAGCTTTATTAGGCCAGCCTACATAACACATAGTAATTAATTGAGTTGTAATTGTCCATTTTACAGGGCAACCTTTCAGGGAAGAGAAAATCCAGAGCATTCCGTAATACTAGGCTAATCCCTATGGAAACGTCTTCATCCTCTGATGATAGCTGTGACAGTTTTGGCTCTGATAATTTTGCAAACACGGTAAGTAAAAAGTGCAAGAATAAACAGAAACTGAATGTGTGGTGTTCAGAAATACCCCATTTGTGATTAAAATGCTTTGCTTACATTTCTGTACAGCAGTTATATGAATATATAGTATGAACTCTAATTTCATTTCACTTCTTCCCTTGTGCTCCTAGGTAGTAATTGTTGGAGGTAGATTAGCCACTTACTCTATCCTTTTGAAATGTCGCCTAACCTAACATGCCTGATGATTTGCTATAAAAGCTCTGAAACCATTTGTAAACCTCCTGAACCATTTTTCTTTGTTACAAAAGCTATTCTCTTGTAGTGCACTTGTACAATGTGATTTGCTCTCAGAACAGTTTATGGAAAATAGCTTCTCATTAAAAAAAAGAGAGAGAGAGAGAGAGAAAGAAACATAGTGTACTTATTCTCTTTAAGAAAGCAACTTTCAAGCCAGAAGTTGCAGAAGAAATGGCTAAAATATTTTACGAGGATTCAGATGAAGAATCTTTCTGTGGCTTTTCAGAAAGTGAGATTCAAGATGTGCTGGTGAGTTGGGCATTTAAAGTTCCTAATTATTATTGTCCTTATTTTGCACACCGAAATAAGCCAAGTTCCTTCAACTTCCATAGACTGAAAAATAGTTGTTTTGATTGAGAAGCCAGCAAGGGAACTCAAAATTATCAGCTATCTTGCACATGAGGACTGAATCTTGGTCTTCCTTTGTAAGATTAGAGCTTCTTTTCAATATTGTGGTAAATTATGTGACCAGAAAGGGATAATATTTTTGACAGTGACGAAGTAGCTCTTTTACCCATGTGTAAGCTGGCAAATGAAGTTCCAATAATATAAACTTATCGCTATATCTTTTCCATTGAAAAAGTGCTTTGTAAAACAAAGCTACAAAAGAAAACTCATTAAAAATAAAATGGTAGAATAACATGATGGGTAGCATATATTTTCTGAAGTAATTATTACCTTAGGGAAAATACATATTTTAATAAGCTCTCCAAATGTGAGCAAAGAGGTGACTTGCTGACTTTTAACAGAAGAAAGCTGAAAAAGTGAGATGGGAGGATGAAGGCCCAGTTTCTAATGTCTTCTAAAAATACCCATAAAGAAAAGCTCTTCTAAGATTAACTTACCCTCACTTTGCCCTTCCCAGGATCTATGCCTGGAATAATAACTTCTGATTTGAAAAGCTGAAAGGCAGACAAGTACTTAAATGTCCTTCAGTGACTAGGGCCAGATGTGAATGGTTTCTATAAGTATTCTTTGGTCTACCTGGTATCCTTCAGGTGTCATTTTTTCCTTGTTTCCCCTCTTTTCATTGTTTATAGGCTTTTCCTTCTCCATTTTTTTAGATAAGAACTTAACAGACACCGGTATATTTAGTAGAACTGTGAGGACACTTCCTAATGATTTTCTTGGGCATGTCAAAGCTTTGAACAGTGGGGCCTGGCAACTTAGTGGAGACCTTGTAAGAAGCTTCTGCTTGATGTATTTAGCCCCCATATAAAGCGGGAAGCTTCTTTCAGTATTGTTTTAGAAAAATAGTGCTGTTTGATGTGCAGGTAGTTAAGTGTTCCAACAGGGCCAGGGTAACGGCACATAATACGACATTATAGCAGTATCTTTCAGTGTAATTTTTCTCTTAATTCTTCCAAGTCAAGAGCAAAGGTCAACAACTGAATATAAAAGGAAGAGGAAGTGGTTTAATTAAGATAACCTATAATATCTGTGCTCTATGGTGGCTCTAAATTGTGTGTCAAACTCGTGGCGTCAAGTGATGTGTGACTTTCTTCCCCTTCGCTAAACCGGGCATGGGCAAGGCCAGCATTTGAAGCATCTGGCCCGTGGGCCGCGAGCTTGACAGCCCTGCTCTAAATGATTGATATAGAATCTGTTGCCCTAGATGTTACGCTATAGCTTTCAGCAGTTCTGGTTAGCAAGAGCAGTGATAAAGAGTTGTAGTTTAAGAATGTTGAGTGAGCCACTGGTTTTCCACTCTTTGATCCTGGTATAGGTCCATGAAATGTTGAAATTGTCAGTCTAACTATACAAACAGCTTACTACGTTTTTTTATTATTTGGATTTCTTTAAAATAGAAACTGGGGACAGATTCTGAAGAAGAAGCAGAGAAATGTTCACGTAAATGGCCTAAGAAAAGTGCTGCTCCCCTTAAAGTTGCTCTGAAGTTCCCACCACGAAGGTCTAAGAGGGGAAAGAGTAATACAGTTCCAGCTTCACAGCCTTCCTGTAAATTGGACTCCGAGGCAGAATCTGATGAAGAAAGTGGACCCAAATTCTTGGAGAGAAGAGCTTTAAATATAAAGGAGAACAAAGCCATGGTAAACATAAAAGAAAGTCCTCAAAATCTGTTTTTTTTCTGAATGGTGAATTAATTTGGTGGCTTGTGTTTCATTGTAAAAACATTCAACTTCGTGATGCTGCTTCATTAAACATTTTAATGCTACTTAATGATTATCAACCTCAGGCAGCTTAAACAGTATTCAAAAATATAATTATGCAGGCATTTTTAATCTCATTCCTTCAATATTGTCCATCTTTGCCATTTGAATAAGGAATTCTAGAATACTTTGTGAAAAATTCTGAAACAACTGGAAAAGTAGATCCAATAGATCAAGAATAAATGACCTGTTCATTACTATGTACTTGTCTCCATATTCAAAGGTTTTGATCACTATAGGTTTTTTTATTCCTCTTAAGTAATTTGATCAGTCTTTGTGTTGTGTTTTTGAATAAATGTCTATACAGTTTCTTTAATAAAGGTTCTGTCTGGGATTTCACTACTTATTTCCTGTTCTTCATTACAGCTTGCAAAGCTAATGGAAGAATTAAAAAGTGTGTCTGGAATTTTTACTAAAAGAGGCCCACTCGCAACTCCTACTCTGGTAAATCACATGTACTTTATTTAACTTACCGGTTTACTTCATAATTATCCAACAAGTATTATTACTAGTTTTCAAGCCTGTTTATTGATGAACTTAGAGCAAATAAATTAAAGTCCATTTCCTCATTATATCATAAAATAATTGCCACTTGTAACTATTTTTTGAATTGCCCATCTATAAAATTTCAGTGCTCAGTTAGACATTCCAGGTTTTTAAACCTAAAACTAACACACCAGAAGTTTTTTTAAAATAAACACATGTACTGCTCAGAGTTCTGATCTGGATCTTGCTTAATCAAGTCCACGATGAGCAAACTATACTTAAACCAGGTGCTGGTGGATGCTTGACAGCTAACCTACATTTTATGAGAAAAACATGCCAGCACAATCAGAGCAGCAACAATTCTATCACATTTTTCATTTCCTGCAAAGTTGTACTATGATTTAGTATTTCAATGGTCTGTCTCACTGGGCCATCCAAAAGAAGTTTTAACCTTTTATAGTGTGTAAATGAATGACCAATAAATACAATTGCAGAATTCTAGAAGTAGATGTATCAAAAGGGTATTGAGTAGATGAAAACAGTTTTACACTGTACTTCCTTTCTGTTAATTTGGCTAGATTATATTTGAGCGGCTTGATTCATTAGAGCTGCAGGTGACCATTCTATGAACCTTTATCTGAGAGTAAGTTTACTATGGTTTAAATTTGGAGAGGAGTAAATCGCTAAATTTGAGAAAAGGTGCTGTAGCTTATAAATGATTTAAGGTCACATACCTTGTCTGACATGGCCATGTTATCTTTATCCTCATCCAAGAAAGCCCAGCGTAGTCCAAGGAAATCAGTTCCCAGAAGTGCTCCCAGGAGGAATCCAGAAAGACGTTCTAGACCTCACACAAGGTCCAGATCCCTAATTGAAGGCCCTCCAAATTCCATGTCTATGGAGGAAGAGGAGGAGGATCCCTACGTGTTAGTGAGAAGGAAAATGTCTGATGATTTTTCTGAGGTATGTTGGTGATATTTATTTCGGAAAACCAAGTAAATTGATCCTTAAATAGCCTAGGTGGTTTAGATAAAGGTTTTCATATAAAACAACCATAACTAGTCATAAATTAAGCTAGGCCAATGGGTTCTTTTCATCTTTCATATGGTGCACAACTGTGGATATATGGCCCATCTTGGCTTGATTGCCAAGACAGTTCAGTAGCAAGATTTGCCATTGTTTCCGGCCATATCTTTTTAGATCCCTTCAAAAATATACGGCTGAGCGCAGCCCTTGGCCAGAAATCTGGCTTTGTCCTGATTGAAATGAAAACCCTTAAATCGTATTTCAGGGGGAAAAAAGCATCTTCAGAATTGGAAATGAAGGCGAAATTATACATTTATTGAGCTAAGACCAACAAGCCACTGTCATGCAGTAATGTGATCCAAGACTTTGGTTAAGAAATTCAGGGACATCTCTGCATAAATATTACAGTGCTTTACGGAGCTCTTCAATGGCTTGACTTAACCCAACAATACTGTTTTCTTCAGGATGAAAGGGACACCCCCAGAAGGAAGCGCACTAGTGCTATGACCCTTCCCCATATCATCCGTCCAGTGGAAGAAATAACCGAGGAAGAGTTGGATAATATTTGTGAAACTGTGAAAGAGAAAGTCTACAACCGTGCAACGGTAAGTTCACATGTTCTGCATTCAGCCCTTTGGTTTGCTTTGTCCAAATTATGTTACAGGTAGTGAGTGCATCATTGTTGCTTTGATTGTCTCCTCTTCATTAGAGCCTGATCCTAAACTCTGAGGCTTGTATTTCCTGTGTTAGAGCCAAGGGGATCTTTGATTCTTTGTTCTACCTCCTACTGCATAATTGCAGAAACTGCAACACCAGGAAGTTTCTTAAGTTGATTCTTTGCAGTTAGGAAATCAAACCGAGCAGGTAGAATACCTAGCCAAAGAGGAGGATCTTTCTCACTTTCTGTAGACTTCACTGAAATATTCGATACATGACAAATATAGTTGAAGATCTGGATTGGGGAGATTCAACTTCAAGTTCCCATTTGATCAGGGAGTTCACTGGATAACTTCAGGTCAATAACAATCTCAGTTCAACCTATTTCTCGAGATTGTTGTTATGAAAATAAAAAAGTCCTGTTTAAGCAGTAAAGTAACTTTCCAAGAGGAAAAAAGATGGGAGTAAAGTAGTAAAGTCTAATGCTTTTCATTTGCTACCATTACCTGTACATATTGGTGAGAGCTGTAAATGCAACACATCTCTTAAAATGGAGGTTCACATGTTGGGGCTTCATTGATAAATTGTAAAAATAATATCAGTTTACCAAGCTCAGATATAATGGGATCTTTTGGCTTGCTGCTATTTACATTTGATTAATTTACAAAATAAAGGACTGAAGCAATTGGCATTTAGATAAGCTTTGAATACATAAAATCTGTTTTTTTTTTTATTAATCAGACAGATATTCAGTGGCCATAATTCTAAGCCATAAGAACGTTGCTTTGCTTTGGCTTAGTGCAGGGGTCCCCAAACTTGGCAACTTTAAGACTTGTGGACTTCAACTCCCAGAATTCTGGGAGCTGAAAGTCACAAGTCTTAAAAGTTGCCAGGTTTGCAGACCTCTGGTTAGTGCAATGTATAGAGAACCAGTTTGGTCTAGTGGTTAAGTTACCAGGCTAGAAATCAACAGACTGAGTTTTGATCCCACCTCAGGCATGAAAGCCAGCTGGTGACTGGGTCTGTCCTTTTCTCTCAGCCCAACTCATTTTACAGGATTGTTGTCAGGAAAATCAGAGGAAAGAGTATTAAAAGTATTGTTCGCCGCCTTGAGTTATTTGTAAAAATAAAAGTAGGGTAAAAAAAAAAGTTAAAAACAATAAAAATGTGTGAACATATGCACTATAATTTATAGCATGTGTAAACGAAACCACTGGGTCCACGTGATGACACTAAGATGAGACAAGAGTGCGATGTTTTTTTCAAAGCAACAATCAACCTGGTATCCTTTACCTTTGCTGCTTTCTTTAACAGGGTTCTACCTGTCACCAGTGTCGTCAGAAAACGACAGATACTAAGACAAATTGCAGGAACCCAGAGTGTCTTGGAGTACGTGGCCAATTCTGTGGGCCTTGTCTTCGTAATCGTTACGGAGAAGAAGTCAGGGCTGCCTTGCTGGATCCAGTAATTATTTTGTTTTCATGTTTGCTTGAATGCATGCTAACGTCATAAAAAAGTAAACGTACAGCTAGTCCTCATTTAGTGATCATATTTGGGATTCACAATTCTGTTAATAAATGATGCAGGCTAAATGGAAAATCAAATGACCATTAGGTTTTTCTTTTTCCCCGTTCTCCCTCATCCTGGTACTGGGATAATTCCGCAAGAATCGAATTAAATTGGAGAGGAAGGGATTACAAGAGAGTAAGTGAGCACATTAGGCACTGGCACTAGCACTAGCCGATTCCTTTCAGTGGGTTTTCTTCCTTGTGTGCCTGCTTACTCTGTATTCTTTTCCCAATCTCCCTGGTTTATGAAGGGGAGGAATGGTATAGGGCAGGGATGTCAAACTCATGGGCTGGATGTGTCATGCGCTGCCCACGCCTGGTTTAGCAAAGGGGAAAAAAGTCCCGATATGTCACGTGACGCTGCCATGACCATGTGAGTTTTACATCCCTGGTATAGGGCACAACATGTACAACTGACTATAAAAGCAAACATGAGAAAGATCATAAATGCACATCTTGATAATTTTGTTCAGCACTGTCATAACTTTGAATGGTTAACTGCATGAGGCATTTGGTAAATGAAGTGTACCTGTATTTTTTCAATTTCCTATTTAAAATGTGTAATATGTTTATGATGTTCTAGTTCAGGGCTGTCAAACTCAAGTCATCACGTGAGGTATTGGGACTTTTTACCCTTTGCTAAACTGGAGGTGGGCGTGTCCAGCACGTTAAACATTTGACCCGTGGACTGTGAGTTTGACATCCCTGTTCTAGCTGAACCATGATGTTGTCAGGGTATTCTAGATGGATCATAGGCAACAAGAACTAAGTTGAATCTACCTATAGTTCATTTTTACTCTCCCTTTTTTTCCTTCAGAACTGGTACTGCCCACCTTGCCGTGGGATCTGCAATTGTAGCTTCTGCCGGCAGCGGGAAGGAAGATGTGCTACTGGTGTCTTGGTTTACTTAGCCAAATATCATGGATATGATAATGTCCATGCTTACTTGAAAAGGTAAATTTCATTTTTTTTTTCATGAATCGGGAAGTAGATACAAATTACTGGCAAGAAGGCATGCATGCCTTCATAAAGATCCAGGTTCAAAGAGGCATTTCATGTTTAGAACAATATTAAGTTACTTGTTGATTGCCTTAGTTTCACTTTGTTTTTGTTTTTTTCACCCCTTACAGTCTGAAACAAGAACTTGAAATGCAAGAGTGAACTTCTGAAGCAATTCCAGAACAATCTTCAGCGCATATGCTAAGATTTGCCTGATTTGAGAATTCATTTTTATTAATGGTTGGCATCTTTTAAAAAGGGGAACAAAAATTGTGACTTTTGACTGAAGCTCAAAGTTGCAGGATAGTGGTTTGTCATGCCGTTAAATCAAAGCTTTCTTAGTCCTGTTTCATGATGAATGCTACTGGATCTTAATTAGCAGAGGTCTCATTCAACCCATTGGGTAGCAGCGGCTTCATACAAAAGCTATAACCAACCAAAAGCAGTACTTGCCATAAATTCTCCTGAATCTTACCACGTGAGATTTTCTGGTGTCCGTTTGCATAGGTACTTTCCCCATGCAACTCTGAGTTTATGTTCATGTTGGAACTGCCGCTGTCACATTATCACTATTGTTAATGTTAGCTGAGTCCAATTTTTGTTTTCCCTTTGTTGGAAAGAAAGTCTTTGGGGGGGCATTCATTGTATCTACATTTGCAGTTATCGTGTATAGTAGATTCAGTAATGAATCAAATGCTAGCTTTTAAAGCTACTGTAAATAGCAGCCGTAATTATCTAATTACAAAGCAACTTAAATTCTTGATAACTTTTTTTTTTGAAAGAAGCAATGATAAAGAACTCAATACTTAGGTTCAAAATTCTGATAGTAATTGAAATGGTTTCGATCAATAAGTGTGAAGTGAACTTGATCAGTCATGCTTAGGACCATGTTTTGTTGTGTTTAAAATAGTACTTACAATGAAAGCTTGACTAAAAGGGATTTGAGAAAATTCAGACTTTTGAAAAATTAATAAATCATTTGATCCTAAAGCTTATTGTCCCTGAGATCTTGATAAGGGATATTTAAAAGGAACCATTAGAGTTTGGGAAGGCAGTTTCATTAGGATTGCAAAAATCCAAAAATAATTAGCTGGAAGTAAGTTGTTAAAGCAAATTGTCTCTTTGCCGTTAATCTAGATGTTTGCAGATGGGTTCAAGTAATTCTAAATTGTGTTATTGACCGAATAATATTACTCGCCTAATACAAAAGCATCATGCCTTATATTTTCTCAAAAATTGTGTGTTGTATATAGAGATTAACAACTCTTCCATTATAGTTTATGCTGGAGCCAATCTTGCGTGATCTGCATATTGGATTGTAAATGCTAGGTTTTCAGGCGGTAATTTGATAAACTCTGTGCTTGTCTAAAGAAGTGACTGTGAACAATACAGTTTCATGGGTTGTAATGTAGATAGGATCCTAATTGGTGATATCTCAAACTGTGTTGGTTAATAGGGCATGGACCTTGTCCATCAAAAACAGGTGGAGGGTTGTGGCTTTCATTTATTAACTGGTAGTGTATCTGCTTAAATGCTGTGCTAACTGGATAAAAGGCTACGCATCCAAAATGCATTGGCTATAAAATTCATCAGTGTTGAATAAACTGCAAGAGGGAAAGTGAACAGATCTCTTGAGTTGCAGAGACCCTTTAAGAAGGAATCACTTTTACTCATACTCGTTACCATTTGTAAGCAGTTCAATACAATATAAAATCTAAATGGAATTAAGAATATCATCTCTCTCACAAAAAGTTTAGATTTAATTTTCATAGTGCATACTTCGGGGGGAAGGGGGGAATCATTGGCTGTTTTGCTTTGCCTCTAAAATCGTGGTTCTGTTTTTCTGTATTTTGTGAACAGGTGTTAATGGTTGGACACATGTGGCTATTATTTTCTACATTCGTTTAAATACAGCAAAAGACAGTAACTCTACTCAAGTATTTTCCCTAGAGTAGTTCGAACAATACTGTAACCTGATACTTTTTATGTATGAAATGTAATTTTGATATTAAAGTTTGCTTAGCAGTGGGCTGAAAAGGCCATGTTTCTTGTGCTTCTGTGTGTGCCAAAGTCCCAGTCAGCACTGACATTTTGGGTATAGGATAAAACATGCATGCCTCTGATCCTGTATGAAAACTGCTTGAAGTGCATATTTGGATTTTCCATATTTATTTGTGATCGTATCAAGATATTAACAGCAAGGGGAAAAAACACAATTGTAGCAGAGAAATAAATTTAAAGTAAATATTCTCTCCCTCCCTTTCCTCATCCTTTTTTAAGCAGCAAAGTTGCCTTTAATAATCCAAGCTCTGATCTTTGTCTTGTTCTACAGACAATCTTCACCATCCAGAGTATGGCCACAGTTAATCTAATGCAGGGGTGTCAAACTCGCGTCGTTGGGGGCAGCATCACGTGACCTATCGGGATTCCACCCCTTCACTAAATCGGGCGGGGACCAGCATGGGATGCATTCAGCCTGTGGGCTGCACGCTTGACACCCCTGATCTGATGTATCTAGATGGCATATGCAGATAGCTGCATTAGATTGGCAAAGGTGGTGTTAGTCTGTGGTAGCCAAAACTCAGCAGTCTTCAGATTAAAACAGATTATTAAAAGTCATATAAGTTTTTCCGAGCAACAGCATGTGTGTCATGCCTAGCAGTGGAGCTAACTGGCATGGACAAGATTTTATACCAGGGAGGAGGAAAATCCAGATTAGAATGGAAAGTTTTGCTAGGTACCTTTGTCTCTCATAGACAAGATTTTTTATTTTTTTTAGTTAAAGTGAACCTTAGTTCTCCTATTCTGAACTGAAGAACCTAGTTGGATCTTCACTTTTGAAAGCAGGTTCTGTTGAATGAGCTACGTTTTATATCCTGCACTTGGGATAATCCCTAAATTGAAAACTGATACTGATTAGAGATGCCAGGAAATCCGCCAGTGTGTGTGAAGGCTGTACTATTTTGCATCACAAAGCAAACGCCCAGCCGTTGTGAATGAGTCTTGCTTTAAACCAGAAAGATCTATATCCACAACTTTACCCCATTTCCTAGGAGCATATGTAATTAATCATTTGTACCTTATTTTTCATGAGCGGCTTTCAATCCAAACCAATGGTATATAGGAAATTGCCTTTATTATAAAATAACGGCATTTTGGGGGGGAGGGAGGGGGCATAATACTGCACTGCTGAAATGGAGAAGGGAATTAAATTTGCTGATCTGCCTGCTCAAATCCTCAGGTTGAATTAAAGTAGCTTTTTAGATCCCCGCCTATATAAGCAACATCAACATTTACTGTATTTTCCCCGTGTTGTATTAAATATACATTGCACCTATGGTTTTATCTCCCCCCACCCCATTTGCTATCTTTTATCTTTATATCAAGAGATATAGATGGCCCTGTAACCCTTGACACCCGACATTAAACCCTGAAATTTAAAAAAAAATCAGTAGTAGCTGGCACTGTGTATGGAAGAAAATAATTGTTTATGGCACACAGCTTAAGCTGTGCTGGTAATCACACTGAAAATACAATATTTATTCATTAGATCAAATTTAATGAAGCCTCCTGGCAGTAATTATAAAAATTACTGTAGCAGTAAATTACTAATGAGTTGTGATGTGCTTCCTACCTGTGAGGAAGGACTGGCTGTTGAAAAAGCCTGATATCCAAACAGCTCTTGGGGAGGATTTGCTCTTGAGTGTAGAAATCAACTTCATGGCAGTCCTGGAGAAGACGCAGAAGTGTAGATGCAAAATGGGAAGGCTGAAAGAAGGATTGGGATGGTGGTTGGAATTGATAGAACTTAGGTGAAAATACCGGAGGTAAATATTGCTTATATCTGTTAATGATTGGGATAGATTTTGGGGAGAAAGCCTCAATAAAGCAAAAAAAAAAAAAAAAAAAGATAAGATACTCCTTGTTGAAGTCATAGCTATGCACCAGCCTTTTATGTTAGCAGGCTGTGCAAATTGTAATTTTAAAATCAAACGGAGTATGCATGTCCCCGGCAAGGAAAGGCAGGCGTAAAAGGAGGACGGCTTGCTGGCATCCAGCGTGTCCTTGTGCAGAATTCCACTTAACACCCTCCCAAGACAATTGTTCAATATTCAGAATACTGCATCTCTTCTTTTCCGTGTAGTCTCTGTATAACTGCATTGCACGGCTTTTGAATTTGAAACTGATAACCCCTGCCCTGTTTCTGCACTGCGTTGCAGTGGCCCTGCTTCTAACAATCCTATTTCCCTGGTTAACTGTACTGTATACTTCTTAAATTGATCAGGGAAATAGGACTGTGTTGAAAAGAAAGAATTCAAGTGCTAGCACTTTTATCTATGGTCTCAAGATCCCCTACAATGGAAAAGACCCCTACATGATTCATTGCAAAACAATGTTGAAGTCCTATGATTAGAAAGCCTGCCGGCCAATTCGTTTACAGTGCTTTTCAACTTATTTCTTTTAATGTGTGCTGTGGTTGTAATTGCATGCTTTATTTTTCTGGCGGATGGGCATCGATGTGATGAGTGCATGCTGTGTGAGACTAGCACATGTAGTAGCCAGCTCAGTACTTCCCTACTCCATCCAGAAGACTTGTCAGAAATGAACAAACTAACATGGAGGCAGAACTTAAAATCTCCTTTGCCAGTCTGTTGCACCTGTGGAGCTGGTGACTCTGTTTCTCCAGTCTGTGGAGCTGTACCCAGGGAAGAAGCCAACTCCACCTGGGTGAAAATGCTGGCATTTTGGATTACAAAAACTTCAAATTCTAATGTTTGTAAAATGTACATAAAATATGAGAAGCCCTTAAAACAAGAATAAAATGCATGTTCATTTGGGACTGATGAATGCATTGAAAAGCTAAACGTGATTGGATTTCCTCATTCTTGCAAGGTGTTTGCTAAAGGTATGGGCGGTTTGTTCATTCACAAAAAGACTGCCATGGGAATACAACTGGTGCTGCAGCCCAAATTTCTCAAAATGCAAACTTGCTGGATGCTTTCTCATTCATACCTGTTCACCTTTTCTGGCCAAGTGGGCACAGTTGCATGGAAAACATTTGGGCACGGCCAAAGTAAGCTGTTTGGAGTCAAGGGGCGTGGACCTTGGTGGCATCTTTGAGGGTGCACTTAGCTGCTGTCTGTAAATCAAAATATTGCCAAGGGATGATCAAATCGCCATTTGGCATGATTAAAAAGAGAAGGGTTTTCTAAAATCAGTCGAGATGCATTCATCAATAGTTCAGTAGCTGTTTTCCCCCCCAGGAAAGAATTCCATCCAAGAAGCAGCTTTTGGGCTCATAGCTGATAGCCATAGCACTTAGACGTATATACCGCTTCACACTGCCTTACAGTCCTCTAAGCAGTTTACAGCATATTGCCCCCAACAATCTGGGTCTTCATTTTACGAACCTCTGAAGGATGAAAGGCTGAGTCAACCTTGAACTGGTGAGAATCAAACTGCTGCAGTCACCAGAATTAGCCTGCAATACTGCATTCTAACCACTGTGCCACCATGGCTCTTAGTTGTGGTGGTCTACAGAGTGCCAAGAAATAGTACTCTTGCATCTGTGAATGGCTTGACTGACATCATCTCTACATCCTGCCTTTCCATTTAGCACAGGGGTATCAAACTGGTGGCCCACAGGCTGGATGCATCGCGCATAGGCCATGCCCACCCCCAGCTCCACAATGGGGAAAAAAGTAAAATGTCACATGACGGCAACATGACGCCGTGAGTTTGACAACCCATGATTTAGCATGTTACCTAGGAGTCTGCAGAGGATCAAAGTGGGAGAAAAGAGAAATGGGAGAGGAATGTGGTGATTTTTAAGTGGCTCAATCTATCCATGAATTAGCCTCTTATCTCAAGAGGTCATTAGTAAAATCTGTTAATGAGTATACATACCTTCCCTCCATCCCATACAATACAGTACTTATTGACTGCCTTTCTACCCCAAATCACCACCTCAAGTACTCTGTAGTGTAGAACTGTACATCACAAACATGAACAACCAATATAACAACATAAAAGTAATAGCTGAAACTTGGACCATTTAAGTCAGTGGTCGCCAACCAGTGGGCTGGGTCCACTGCTGGTCCAGAAGAAAACGTTGGTGGTTTGCAGAGAAATATCGCCCCCAAAGCACCCCCCAAAGCAATTAATCCAGGCTACATACAAGGCTGTGCCACCCACATGCCCTGCATGAACACAAGGCTTGTGTCTCTTGCATTGCAAACAACATGTAGTGAGGGGAGCGGGGAAAGGATGGAGCGGGGAACTTGCCCCACGCGCCTGGCCTGGCCACTGGGCTGCTTCTTTTCGCTTCTGCTTTTGGCTGAATGCAAGGAAAACAGCAAAAGTCTTTCTCTCCCCCAAACTCTGTCAGAAACGAATCTTTGGGACCCCGCAAGGCATCCTGCTCCAAGAGACTGTGCTGGCATGACAAGTCTCACAAAGACTCATTTCTGGCAGAGTTTGGGAGAGAGAAAGAAAAACTGCTGCTTCTGCTTTCCTTGCACGAAGCCAAAAGTCTCTTTCTCTCTCTCTCTCTCCCGCTGAGAACAGAGCTGGAGACGGTATCCTGTGATCCCAAATAAAGAATGATCGATCGGTAGGGAAATGGGGTGGGGAATTTTCCTGCAGACTTTTTGGGGGGATTTGGGGGGATTTAAAATTATGAGTTTGGCGACCCCTGATTTAAATTGTTTCATGCAGGACTTTCATAAAGACAAACAGGTGCTGTTCAGCTTGCTAGAGGACCTGGTTATCTACGCTAATGGCAATTTTAAAAAATCACTATGCTCAATTTTGTCATGATGCTCTGACATGGTGCTGCCACAAAGGGTTTAGTTTACAATTAGAGATCTTCGTTTTAAACAAAGGAAGATGCATTCTACAGTCAAAAGTCTTCAACTGCCTGGTTCTTGTTCAACCATGTTTTATTACAAAAAAAGGCTATGTAAGATTCCTGCAGGTATAGTAAGTTTCTTTATCAGCATTTCCTGTCAAGAAACCCTTTTAGTAATTTGAGCCTA